AAGGCAGTCGCTTAACCAACTGAGCCACCCAGGCGCCCCTGGTAAATCTTTTTTAAATAAATTATATTTTGTACTACCTGCTATACAATGTTACATAATTACTACTTCCAGACACTAAAAGCTAACTAATATATATTATTTTTCATTATTTTTATCATAGTCTGTTATACTGCTAACTCAATGAGAATACTGGCTCTCACTGATACTCTTTTTTGGAGCTCTGTGGGGCTTCATCAAATACCTGTTACAGCTACTTACAAAACCTAGAATACTAATGAAGTAAAACTCTGGACCCATTCTATTATCTCCATGACCAGTTAGAACCATCTGGATTTTTTTTTTTAAGATTTTATTTATTTATTTGACAGAGAGAGAGAGACAGCGAGAGAGGGAACACAAGCAGGGGGAGTAGGAGAGGGAGAAGCAGGATTCCCACTGAGCAGGGAGCCCGACACAGGGCTTGGTCCCAGGACCCTAGGATCAGGACCTGAGCCGAAGGCAGACGCTTAATGACTGAGCCACCCAGGCGCCCCCATCTGGATGTTTTCAAAGCTTAAAATACTTGAAATGCCTCACGGCTCAAGTGGTAGAGTATCAGGTCATCCTCAAAGGTACTCAGATGGCTTGCTGGGCAAGGATGCATTTTGTCTTACAAGAATAGAGCTCTGTACTCAAGCCCTTACCACTTACATATTTATACACAAACTTCACAAAGCGATATGTGTGCTCTAAATCATATAGATATAATCAGAGTTCCAAGGATTAGCACATTTCAACAAATATTTAATTTCATGGTAGACAAATATACTTTCATTTATTTATATTGTGAAGAGATTCTTCACAACCAGACAAGATTTACCTGAATCCGTAGCTGTGATCATCAAGACAAAGTGCTCCTTTGTTTCGCGGTCCAAACTCTGTGTTACTCGAAGTTCTCCACTAGCTGAGAGAGTAAAAGCATTGTCTTCATTACCACCAAGTAGAACATATGAGAGTTTGCTATTAGAACCTTGATCATCATCTCTTGCCACCACCTATAGGAGAGAACAAGGCATGCCAGGAATGTGAGTAAAACTAACACACGGTCTATCACAAAGTAAAATGTACCATTAAAAATAACGTCCTATGTACCAATATTAAAAGTTTCCAAAGGCACAATTTTAAGTTTCAAGTGAGAAATAAAAATGGTACAGAGTAAATATGTATTATTTGTGTAAAAATGTGAATAAAATCAAAGCACAGTATTTTTGGAAGGTTTCACAAAAATTTTTGACAGCAGTTTCATCTAGGTAGTTGCATTTGTAAAAAGGGAAGTGAGAACAATGTAATGTTTTCATTACAATGAAAACAACAATGTTTTCAAACTTTTATTTCATTTTATTTTCTTACTATGTTTAGATATTACTGTTATACTGAAACAAAATGCAAAATACACAAATATGTAAATGTGTGCAACATGATTACACACAGAAGAACATAACTGAAATACATTTTAATCTACGAGGAAATCAATAGGTTCTTAGGCATAATTTTCATTAACCTTTCCTTTTCAAGATTTGTTTATCTGCAGTTAAGCATTTATGAAGAGAATGAAGAAGAGGTGGGTGTAGGAGAGAGTGGACTTTTTTTTTTAAGATTTTATTTATTCATTTGAGAGAGAGAGAGCACAAGCAGGGGGAGAAGCAGAGGGAGAGGGAGAAGCAGGCTCCCTGCTGAGCTAGGAGCCGGATGCGGGGCTTGATCCCAGGACCCCGAGACCATGACCCGAGCCGAAGGCAGATGCTTAACTGACTGAGCCACCCAGGGACCCCAGAGAGGGTGGACTTTTAAATTAGATGTCTTAGAGTGAACACAATATTTGCTTAATTTAAATATACTAACCTGAAGAATTGTTCTGGGCAGTGTCCCTAAATTCTCGGGGACATTTACAGAATATGGAGACAGCTCAAACATGGGAACAAAATCATTAATATCCAGTAGAACAATGCTGACAGTGGTGGTGTCAATTCTGGGGGTACTGCCACGATCTGCTGCCTGAACAGTTAAAGAGTAAGTGGGAGTTTTTTCTCTATCCAATGGCTTAGCCACAGTGATGGCCCCTGTGACAGAGTCGATGCGAAATTCCTGATTGGCATTACCATCAACGATGCCATAGCGAACCTGTCCATTTGTACCTTCATCTCCATCTGCTGCATATACTTGTATTATATCTGTTCCAGTAAGTGTGTTCTCATTAATCTCCACTTTATACAAGGCCTGCACAAAAACAGGGTTGTTATCATTGATGTCAAGTACCATAACTACAACCTCGGTAGACGAAGAGAGAGCTGGTTGACCTTTGTCTGTAGCCACCACTGTCAGAGTGTAATTAGAAACCTCTTCTCTATCCAGTTCTCCAGTGAGCCTCACTTCACCATCAATGGTTCCAATACTGAACTTGTTTCCCAAAGGGTTTAGCAGGGTGTATTCAATATAGCTGTTTGGGCCGCTGTCTGGGTCCGTTGCTTGAGCTTTGAAAACAATAGTATCAATGGGTGTGTTTTCTGGAATGTATGTCAATTTAGGGGAAAGAAATGTTGGTGGGTTATCATTTACATCCAACAAAATAATGGAGACGTGGGCAGTGCTTGTGAATCTGGAGGCTGGAAGCTGTGGCAGGTCATGCACCTGAACAACCAGGTTGTAGAAGGACTGAATCTCCCGGTCCAAACTTTTAAGGACTTTGAGTACACCATTCTTGTCAACTGTAAACTGACCGAGGCTATCACCTGAAGCAATGCTATAGGCCAATTGGGAGTTGATGCCTGAAATGGAAGGGAAAAAAATTAAATTTTCCCAAATGCATGCTGATTACAGACTAAGTTGCACCAAAAATTCTGAGATAAAACTTGCATATTTGATATATGACGCCCCAAACACACCTTATGGATGATTTAGCTGCAGTTAATTTTTTTGTAAGTCATACACACACATAATTCATTGCCTGTTAACTTTTCATGTGAAAAGATGTTTAAAATCGGCAAATGAATGATCTATATCCTGCTTGCTATTTACTACGATGTTGAAATGTTAAATTACAAAAATAAAGAGGAGAAAAATATTCCAGGGAGTGAATATATTTCTATACATTTCCTTATTTCTGTAACATAGCTCCTGAGGGTTCAACATTAACAGTGTCACACTCTATACTGTTAGCCAAACATTTAGAACTTCAGTAATTTATCGAGGCTGACACCAATTTTCAGGGAAGGGTAATAAAATTTTCTGATGTACGGCATTAGTCATGGATGTTTTAAGTCTACTTTTACATTTCTTGTCAGAACCAATAAATACTTTTTAATTCTTATTAAGCATCTGGCTAATGGCCTTTGTGAAAATAATTCTCTCTCAAATTTTATTATGTACATTTAATGTCTTTTAAAAGTATTTTTTGAAGGAAATGTTAGCAGTAAAATGATACACAAGAGCCTGCAAATATAAACGCTCACACTTTCATTGGGCTATATTTAGACGCTATTTTACCTATTTTTCCTAGGAACATGTGTCACTTTTTAATTGTAAAAAATATATACATAATTTCTCATTTCAAAAAATGATTGCACAGAATATTCTAAAACAAATGAGTGGAGAGTGGATTGGCCAATCATTTTTAGTAAATAATTTAAAAGTCAATAACAGATAAGCAGTGAAAACAGAAATAAAACTGATTTCTTGCCCCAGAAGTGTTTTCTTCATTTGTGCATAATGCCATGTACGTTTTTATATCTTATCCTAAAGATGTTGGGATACTGTAAGATATTATAAGTGTTGCTAAGAAATATATTGTGCCTCTAGATAATTCATTCTTAATAAAGATTTTATACCCTGAGGTTTTACACTAGGGAAAATCTGTTGAGTTACATTAATTGCTTACAAATAGCTCCTCTACTTCTGAAGTTAATTTAAACTATTCAGGCATCAGGGACACCTGGCTGGCTCAGTCAGTAGAGCGTGTGACTCTTGATCTCAGGGTTGTGAGTTCGAGCCCAGTGCTGGGTGTAAAGGTTACTTAAAAATAAAATCTTTAAAAAAAATTTTTTTTTTAAGTAAACTATTTAGGTGTCAGAAATGATGTCCACTCTGTGCCAAGAGTCTTCTAGAACAATTTAATCACTCTTTTTCTCTTTTTTTCTTGCAAAATACTTTCTCGGGATTCTATGACTACTTGAGTTAGCTTTTATCTTTTCTTGAAACTTGTCAGGTTCCTTACAAAGGCAAGTTTGAGTAGAGTAATGGGATTTTCTTTTCTACTAGGTAAGCTTGTCTGCTCTTTAAAAAAAAATGCTAGAATTACTCTTTTCCTGTGATTTTATGGTCTCTATCTAATATCCTTTATCTGTATGTTGATACAGAGAAGAAATATGTATGAAAATAACTTTTAGATGCTGGTTTATTCGTAAAAATTTCTAAGATAAACAAGGATTCAGTAGATCTTTGAAAAGTTTGGATTTTCCCCTTCATTATGAGTTGTGGCTTTTAATCTTTATAGTTTGTTTAAAACTATTCACAAGTGAACAAAGCAGTGTAAAGTTCAGAATAATTAGGACTCTAAAGATCAGGAAAAATATGAATAAATAAAGCTAATGGAGGCCACAGGTCAATTTACCAGCAGGAGATAAAGAGAATTTTAAGATCTGGATTGAACAAGGTCAATAGCCTTCTTCAACCCTTGACTTAAAATTACACAGGAATGGGAGGGAAGAAAAAGTTACATCAACTGGTGCAAAGAAAAGTTCCATCAATTGGTGCAATTAATGGAAATTTTATATAGGTGACATATAGGGATATATATATATATATAAATACATATTCCTAGAAAGAAATTTAATTTGAATTTATATTTTTATATATTTTTAAGTCAAATTACTAAGGAAATTTTCTGCATTTTTTATGGTTAAATCCATCAGTAAATTTTGAATTCCTATTCTTTGAGGCACAAATTCAGATCCAATTATTACTGAGAAAAAGTTATGAAAACATCTGGATAAAATAATACCAGCAAGCAGAGATATAAAATTTAGTTCTGTGAAAGCATATAAAATCTTTCATGCCCAAGATCAAAAGAAATTAGAAAAACTGACAAAAGTACACATGGTTACGAAGTGATAGCCTAGCATTTCTACATAAATCAATTGGAATGCAAGCAATTAAAGCAAGGATCTGAACACCCTCAGTCCACAGTGTTTGCTATTTCCTGAGTAAACAACTAAATTTGAGAGGCAAAAAGAGAACATGATACCAAGACTTTATAGCCTCCTTGTAAACAACAGAGCAGCCTCTTTTTTAAGGGAAAAGGTTTGGTGGGGTAGGTGGGTGGGATAAGTAATAAATATTAAACTTTAACAAGAATTATGAAAAAAGAAAAATTTGATTTTATATTCAAATTCAAAATGACAGATACAGATTTTAAATACCATTCCAATGAACTCACAATAACAACCATCTTTGAGAATATAAACATAAAAATATAACAACTCCTGTACAAAATACTGCCACACCATCGAAAAAACAGCTCTCATCTCAGGGCTTCATGAATCCTTATTGTTACAATTACAGGCCACAAAAGCCGCTTATATTTACTTTACTGTAAAGAAAAGAACTTTTCATTTCTGACAAATCTAAATGACTTTGGGCATGTGCTCTACAGCTAGAAAAGAGATGTGGATAGATAGAAACATTTGTAGTATCCAAAAAAAATAGAGAGGCCAGACCATTTGTCTTTCTCTGTTCTTTGCATCAAATATTCAAATCATGAAACAGTACATACATTATTTTAAAATCTGTAATCTACCCATAAGTATCAGAATTTGACTTTAGTGGTGTTTTATAGCTCACCAGGTCTTTAAACTTAAAACTGTTCATACTTCTAACCATTTGTGTTCAATGTTCTGAAAGTGGTTTAGTCACATGATTCCTTCTGAAAGTTTTATTGTGTGTGTGTGGTTGTGTTGGTTTTTGTTTTTTTTTTTTTTTCAGTCTCAGGAATAATTTAGTTCCAGGAAATGTAGCACATAACTATAGGTATATAGTTCTGTTATGAAATGTGTATATTTATTTACAGTTCGAAAACGTTGTCTAATTATGCTACGATAAGCTAGCATTTGTCTACGTATCACACAGCTGTAACCCATGGAACTGCTTCAGACAGCATTCATCTTTATGAAGCAGTTCCAACAAGGTCACCAAGTCACCAGAATATGAAACTCCTTTCATTTGAATGACCTGCAATTGTACCAAGCATGGACAGGTGAACTTATTCAGCATTACCATTGCATTATTCTCAGAACACTCTATGACTCCCAATATTTTGAAGAGCATATGCATTTATTTCTAGGATAATAACATAATAATTATCAAAGCCAGTATATTTCCATGAAGTTAAGTTTATAAAAGTTTGCCTCAATATAATACTTTTTACACTGTATATAGGGAAGCCTTGAGATTAATACATACACTATTTATCTTATGAAAATAGTTAAGATATTTGACCTATTCTTATTAAAAGATTCTGTAATCTCAAATTTGATGTTGAACTCTGAATCTGGTTATAGGGAACAGAAAATAGTAACTTTATTTTTATATAAAATTTCTTCAGATGATAATATTTCCTCATCAGGAAACTTTTGATCAGAGATTAGATGAATTTGTTTTTTTGGGGGGGGAGGGGGTTGGTGTTTTTTTTAAGATTTTATTTATTTATTTGACAGAGAGAGAGAGTGAGTACAAGCAGGGGGAGCAGCAGAGGAAGAGGTAGAAGCAGGCTACCCACTGAGCAGGGAGCCCAATGCGGGGCTTGATCCCAGGACCCTTCAGACCTGAGCCGAAGGCAGATGCTTAACCGACTGAGCCACCCAGGTGCCCCAAGATGAATTTGTTATTTTAAAAAAATGTCTAAATAATACTGTTTGTGAAATACTTTGAGAACTATTCAGTGTGACCAAGTTGGCAATTTTAAATAAGCGAGGTTACCCTTGTACAGTCTTATCACAATCCTTGAAATTCAGAAAGAATAGGAACCATGTCCTATATTTTAGGTCAAGGTACAGGAAATTACACTGATAAAAGTATTCAAAACTAAAACAATGGAAAAATGTAGCTTGACACTTTTTACCCAACACAAACATAATTAAAGGAAAAAAAAATGCATGAAAAGTAAGTAGAAGTCAATGGTTAATGTATGTCTGTGCATATGTGTGTGTGGAATATTCCAGCAGATTTTCACAAAGAAAGTTTCTTATTTGCTATTTTTCAGTTCCCGATAATTGAAGGTATGAGGATAAATATAATTTAGTCCAGAGACGCACACAATCCTATGAAACAACGGTCTCTCTATAATGCATAATAATGAATCACAAAGAAACATGGCAGAAAATTCTTCACTACAGAAAAGTCAGGACCAGTCACAAGGACAAATAAGATATTCATATCCAGGGAGCGGATAAACTAAGGTTATAATAGAGAAATCAACTCCCAAAATAGAGATTAAGCTCAATTGTCTACAAAGTCTAATTGAGCTGAGCTGGGCTGATGTACGTGAAACAGGGTGAGCAATGTTCTTAGGCCTAGACTGGTTACTTACTAAATATGCCACAAATTTCTGTTATTCCTATTAATATTACTAGCAACAGTAGTAGTACTAGTATTACAGATTCTTCTATTTTTATATATATTCCTGTGACCAGTATTAACTACTTAAACATAAAAGGGGAAAACTTCACAATGCCCTTCATGAATTCTGAAGAAAGTATTTCCAATTTTATGAATTGAAACATATATAAAATACTGTGCTTTTTGCCCCTCATATCTTTCTCAGGGACACTTGTAGATAATCCTGAAAGGATCGTCTATGTAAGTATAGAGGAGAATGTTGAGATAGGATGGTATTCTGAAATTACTTTAGTCATTCATCCAAGTCAGTAAGAATCAGGAAATTCTAAATTAAGATTGATAGGCCCATGTCACTAAGCATATCTTCAAGCTAGAAACCTATTTCCTCTTTAAAGTTCTGCCCCTTGTTTTCTCAAGCGATAGGACATTGAACTCATCCAATAAAAGGGGAAACAAGGTATTAACTTTCCAAACAGTTCAGTTAAAGACTGATAATCTGCACAATGTTATCTCTAGTCCTGTATTATCCGATATGTGTATTGACAAACACATCTTAGAAGAAAGACCAGGAGAGTTATATTTTATTTTATTTTTTGAGAGTTATATTTTAAAAGAAAGTTTGTCAAATGCTTTTGCAATAAATAAAATCAAACACATGTGAAGTCTAGATTTAAAGCAAAATCTCAACTTGATTATATAGCATAAATTAAAGAGATCTGAGACTGTCCTTTGAATCAAGCATGAAAGCTTCCTAGAATATTATTAGAACTTTTCAGTCAGAAATTTAAAACTAATTATGCATTAAGTATTTTTTAAAATGCTGGTTTTCCTTTTGCTTCCAAATTTTATCCTTTTTATGTTAAAATAATATATACAAACAAATATTTTTATTAATCTGACAAAAAACTAGTAAAAAGCTGTTTTATGACTTCTACATTATTAAGCTGTGATACTGTAAAAAGGGAAATAAAGGTTATAGAATGATAACAGTGCATGCTGTGTAACTGTTATAAATAAGAATTTAACTGATAAAGCACTTAATTTTTTTTTCCATTTGATAGTAGTCATTTATTAACTGACCAGACTACAAAAATAATCATGGTAGATACCTAAGTTCATCCTTCTAATAAGCTTAAAGCACTTAATTTTAATCCTCTATAGTTAAATCATAAATCTGTCCCTCTTTGTGACAACTGAACACAGTAAATAAAAATAATATAAATCTGTGGACATTTTTAATAAATTTTTAAGTGTATAAAATAAAGTACATACCATCATCTGCATCGGTAACATTAAACACAAGAACAGTAGATCCTAGAGGTAGATTCTCCATTAAAGATGTGCTATATGAATTTAAGCTGAAAATAGGTGGGTTATCATTTACATCTAGTACATTAAAATAAACTCTAATGGTAGTAAATTGTCCCCCACCATCTTCAGCTCGAACAGTAAGGATATAATATTGCTGTGCTTCATAATCTAATACTCGAGTCAAATTAAAGACTCCAGTAACTGGATTCAGGAAAAATATGCCATCTTCATCATCTTCATTCACAATATATGTAATTTCTCCATTCACACCAGAGTCATCATCTGTAGCTAAAATAGCTGCTACCAAAGAACCTATCAAAAAAAATTAATAGTCTAAAATTAATGGGATAAGGGTATTATTAAGAGAATATATAGAGACACCAACAAATTTTATTTGTACAGTAAAATATTTTAACTAGAGAATCCCTATGAAAATATAGTGAATACAACAGTCTGCAGATTTCTATATTAACACTGATACCAACCTTCCCAAATATTAACAAAACATACAGCATATTAAATACTCAGTAAATTTTATGTTACAGTGTAAATGTTCTGGAGAAATAATACTTCTGACACTATTTTTCTGCCTGGCACTACCAATTCGTGAACATATTGGTGATTGCAGTGAACATATATTGGGGCCCATTGCTAGTATCAGGAAGTAGGGGTCCCCAGAAATAATGCAGACTTAAGCTCAGTGGGTATCACTTGATAGCTTGTGTGGTCATTGCTATAATTAAGGCAGAAATAAATGTGATGATAATTTCATGAAGGACTTGCACAACTCATGTTGGGGAGTGAAGGGAAAACTGCAGTAAGAAGTAGTCTATAAATATTTAATTTCTTTGTCAAATGAGTTTCCACAACATATGCCTTATTACGCAAAATCATTCCAAATGTAATTCAGAATAAAATTTCAATTTTAGATAAGAATTTCCAATAATGGAAATGAAGCAAACACACACCAGAAATATGGATCTTTAGTACTCAAACTCAACAATCACAACATAATATGTTCAAAGAGGAAAGCTGACAATTCAGGACGAGATTCTACTAACACTTACTGGGTACATGCTAATTCCTAAGCCCCATGTTAGCTACGGTATATATGATGTATTCTCTGAATTAACCTTTACCTTAATTCTAACAGGAATTATTGTTTCCATTTTACAGAAGGTAAAATTGAAGCTAAGAGTAATGAATGAACTTGCCCTGAGCCACACAGGCTCTAAGTGTTAGAGCTAGTATTCACAGATTTTCATGTGCTTTTCTTTCTGCTTTGTCTACATAACACTATAATCATATTAGAATTTTTAAAATATCCATTTATTTTAATTTTTATAACCAATTAAAATATGTTAAAAATAAAGATGTAGTCCTGTCTTGCAAATGCCTTTCTGAAGTATATTGACTCAGAATGGATGCAGAGGTAGCAAACTACATATTATATGACCATTTTTTAGAAGTCAGCATTTAGAAATGATATTAACACATAAAATGTTTAAACGGGCTGTAAAATATCACAGAGTATAAAGTGGGAAAACAGGATCAAAACTGTTGTTGCCAGAAAAATTAACAACTCATCACAAATACTTTCAGAAACAGAAGTATTTGTAATTGGTAATCAGATGAATTGCTAACCTCATTTGCTCTCAAAAGTCTAGCAATTTTTTGGGGAACTGTACTGAAGGTGGTTAATTAACAGACTAAAATACCTAGCACATATATTTTTATACCTAGCAGCATATGGTAAAAACTAGTCACTAATTAAGAGCAGGCAAAACATGGTCCATAATTGTAGTCAAAAGCGATCTTTGCAAAACATACTTAAGGGTGTGCCACCTACCTGGGGTTGTGTCTTCTGGGATGTCAAAAGAGTACACAGGTCTGGAGAACTTGGGTGTGTGGTCATTCACATCACTGACAGTGATATTAATTCTCATATCTGAGGATTGAAGACCATCATCTGCCCGAACCAGCAAAGAATATTTGGAACGGCGTTCCCTGTCCAACCGCTTGGTTGCTATCAGATCTCCAGATTCAGGGTCAATGCGGAAACTGTCATCAGCTCCACTAATGATAGTGTATGTGACCAGAGCATTTGCACCCTGAGGAAAAGACCCGCATCTCAGTTGTTAGAAGTACAACAGTAAAGGGCACCATTTCTTATGTTGAGTATGTATTCGACAAAGTGAGGCTTTTGGCTTTATTTGATAAGATACTAAAAGATTTCAAAAGATAACAAACCAAAGTAGTATATTACATCATCTTTCACCATTCATCCATTAAATAACACAGAAAATCTCAGCCATCAGTATTAGCTATATATATTTCTTAACTCATAAAATGTACACATAGAAAGGAGTCAAGTTGTCGCTACAGAAAATACAAATGACACTACTACTATTAACCGCATAACCAGAGGATTTGCTGAAGGATGGCTTTGTGCCAGGCACTGTGACAGCATTATGTATGCATCCTCTCACTTCAGTTCACAACTTCATGAGGTGCCATTTCACAAATGAAGACACTGGGTTCCGAGATGCTGGTTAACTTACACATAGTCACACTGCAAGTGTTACTGTGGATTTCAAACCCAAGTCTGCCTGACTCTGAGCTCATGGTCCTTCTGATTCAGCATGAGAAGGTAATTAAATGAGACAAGTGCTAAGTGGAGGAGGCTTGCCATAGACACTGTAAGAACCAAGAAGAGAGATGGATTATTTTGAGTTGATTTCTTTAGGGAAGATAATAAAGGAGAGTATATATGGAGCTGAATTGGGGCTTGTAGAATTTTTTTTTTAAGCAAGGACTAAGGAAACATTTCAGTTTAAGCAAAAATGCAGAGGGAAGGAGAATGATATGTCTGGATTACTCACTGTTAAACAGTTTGTTAGAGTGGAGAGTTTAAATGAAGAATAGAAGAAGAAGGTCAAACTAACATGTTAGGTTATGGGTATATTTTTGAGAATCTCAACTGCAACACAAACTGCCTTGAATTTTATGGCCAAGAAAATACTAATCTTGTTTTAATTGGAAGCAATCTCTCAAGGTTCTTGATATTGTAGGAAGAACTAGAGTGGGGAGAGGCCGGAGAAGGCAAAGAGTGAGTAGAGTTTGGCCCCAAGAGGCTGAGGCTTCAGTTCCTCAAGGTGAAACTTTCTACAATCTGTATTCTTTGTAGGTTCCAAGTCCATGTTCTGTAAAATGAAAGCAGGGGTGATTTCTTATGTACTCTTAGATCTTTGAGCAGTGGCCCTCAAAACTTTGAAGTCTAAACTAGAAAGCTGGCAGAGGACACAGAAAGGTTGAGAAAAACAGAGCATTCTTCATGTGTTTAAGTGCCCAATGCTGTTTAAGCACATCACTTCATAGGCACTAATTGAGGTTAAAGGGAAGGCTTCAAGAAAGAGTAGATCTTAGCAAAGTGAAAAAAAAAAAAAAGAAATTTAGAAGAATTTAAAGTAAAGGGGTGACTGGGTGGCTCAGTCATTAAGTGTCGGCCTTTGGCTCGGGTCATGGTCCCAGGGTCCTGGGATCGAGCCCCGTATTGGGCTCCCTGTTGGGCGGGAAGCCTGCTTCTCCCTCTCCCACTCACCCTGTTTGTGTTCCCTCTCTCGCTGTGTCTCTCTCTGTCAAATAAATAAATTAAAAATCTTAAAAAAAAAAAAAAGAATTTAAAGTAAAGAACCCATCTGGATTTGATGATGGGGAATGCTAACCTCATAGTATTTTTAAAATACATTGTATGTATTTTATTTTAAAATATATTATATATTAAATATATTATAAACATGACAGTCCAATGTTGAAATTACAAGCAGTTTGATTTAGATATTTCTTAATTATGTATATTATAATTAAAATATTGAGTTAAATATTATACACTGTACTGGTTGAGATCTGATGCTTTGGGGGTTGAATCTGCTCTGCCACTTGTTATTTGTGTGTCCTTGGGCCTTATACTTAGCCTCTATGAGCTGATGTTTCTTTATCAGTGCAATCAGGACAATAACATTACCTGCCACACTGGGCCATTGTGAAGACTGAATGAGTTCATACATGTAAAAAACCTAGAATGATCCTTCAGAAAGTATATGACAATGTTAGCTGTTATTTTTATTTCTGTTTTTATGTAATGGGTTAAGTGCATTTGAGGATAGATTCCTATAAATGAATACTTTAAATAAAAATACAACTGAGTTGCTATATATCCCAGGAAAAGTATGTTTTCTGATTTCCTATTGTATGTAATTGTTGCATTTTGACACTGAGGTATAATTAGTGTTGGAATCATTGACTTCCAAAAATTCCTTTTTGATTTAAATATACTTACATAAAATAAGCATGCTCTTTACGATTATTAACCTCTAGAAATTTACTTATCAAAATATCCAGGCTAAGAACTCTCAAGAAAGATATTGGGAAGAACATAAATTTAGGATGTGTAGGACTATAAGGCTGGTATGCCAGGAGATTATGGCACCCACGGTTTCCATTCTTTCCTTCACAGATTAGATATGTTTCATCCTTCATGGTCAAACGTATAAGGGCATGATTTCTAACAGTCAAAGGCAAAAATACTCTTTCAAAATACATGTTTAGTGGCATTTGCTACATTTTTGTACTGCATTCTCCAAGCCAATCTTAAAATTTAGTAAAGTCAATGCCTCAAAGCACCTTTTAATTTAGTAATGGAATAGCTGAGCTTAACACAATACCACATGTATCTTGTATATTCAGGTGTACATGGGGTAGCTAACATATTTATTGTAATGGAATGGTTTAACAAAAACATTCAATAAGAATTTTAGACTTTTAATCTGACTACAGTCTGTACTATTTATTCTGTTTCACTAAGTTCCATTAGTCTAGTAAAGCAGTCCAGGTATAAAAACAGCTACATTCAATTTTGACCTATTAAAAATGGCAATTATTTGGAAATTAGGGGAAGGCAAAGAAACAAAAACATATTGAAAGCTATTACACAAATGGTTTGAAATTTAGAGATGTCCTGTCCACAAAATAACTGTCATAATTAATGCTCCTAAGTTATGATAATTCTTCTGAACAGAAGCAAAAGCATCAAATTATGTTGATAAAACAGTTTTTTATATTCAAAATCAGCTGATGCAGTGAATTAATAGTTCTGGTGAATGTCTGAAAATGTCTGGCCAAGAGTAATGATTTAATTAGGTCTTTTGAAAAGTCTATTTATTTAATATCCAAAATATGCAGTATCAGCAATACCACGAGAAACAAATATCGTATTTCAGCAGCAGTGTGGTGGAAATAATGCTGGTTAAAAATATTCTACTCTCCTGAGGAACCACAGAGACAAAAGCACATGGAAGGAATTCTAAAAGTAAATAGCTATAAATTGCAAATGCATTTTATAACCTTAAGTAGTATTTTCAAAAACAAGTATGGTACCATGAAACAAAGCTTGAGTATCCTGGCCCATTACAAGCATAATAATTCTGTTTATAAAAGGAAACAAGAGACTGACAAAGTCATGTGCTTCTGAAAGATGTGTATCTTGATCCAACATATGTTTCAAATGATATTTAAATTAAGTTCAACATGTACATGTTTCTTCCTAAAACCAATTCCTTTACCCAGGCATTATTCTCCAGTGCCTTACTAGAATTTCTCTAACATACTAATATTTTTATGTTTGATTTAGCAATTAAAGAAAAATGTATAAATAATAAAGAATGTATTGACCTACATATTTATTAGTATTTTAAATAATTCTATTAATCTTTTAAAGCCAGTCCACTGGATAGTTGTGGGAAAATTTAATGCTAACTACAAAGTAAAAGAAAATCCTGTCATTCAATATTGAGTCTTATTCAAACTAGATGAAGAAAGAAAACAGCCATGACTTAGTAAGAGAGAAAACATTTCAAATGTGTGTGTGTGTGTGTGTGTGTATATATATATATATACATATTTCAAATTAAAATAAGAGGGGCACCTGGGTGGCTCAGTCCGTTAAGCATCCGCCTCTTGATTTTGACTCAGGTCATGATCTCAGGGTCGTGAGATCAAGCCCTACATTGGTTCTGGGCTGGACATGGAGTCTGCTTGAGATTCTCTCCCCCTCCTTTTGCCCCTCCCCCAGTTCTCTCTCTTAAAAAAAAAATCAACTAAGAGGTAAAAAGTTGAGGATAGAGTAGAAAATAGGATGAAGGTTTATCTAAAAGCATTAATATTAATTCATTGCAAGCTACTCAAAAAAGGAAACAGCTAATGATTCTGAAGGCCACAGAAAGCTGAGGTATCCATTCTATTGGGCATAAGGCCAGAGAAATGTTGATTCCTCACATCATGAGTTGAAATAGTGATCATTTAAAAGCTACTAAAATTTTTAAGAGAAAATGTATTCAAGAAGGACAGCAACCTCATGAGCTTAATCTTTAAAAAATCATAGTTCAAAAGCAGTTTTACAAAAAAGTCCTCCTTTCTTTTAAAATTGTAGGTAAACCTACTTCCTCCCTCCCATCCTCTCCTGCCTTTCCCTTCCCCCACCAACAGATCTGATCACAAAGTACTTGGTGATTTTTATGCCTTCAGGCAGTCACACTTTGCACAAATTGTCAGCATCCCTACCTCCCCCTGAATTTCAAACAACCCTTCCTCCATTTCTCTGGTCTATTTCTTCTGCACAACATTACACTTTCCTGCCCTTTAACTCCACACCTTGTCTCACCCCAGATGCACTTCTTGCATATCCTAGATATAATCATCTTACATTTCAGTAGGTTTTATTTTTAAAGCATTTTTTTTTATTATTTATTCATTTGAGACAGAGAGATACAGAACGAGAGAGAGAGAGCAGGAGCAGTTGGGAGAGGCAGAGGAAGGAGAAACAGACTCCCAGCTGAGCAAGGAGCCCGATGCGGGGCTTGATCCCAGGACCTGGAGATCATGACCCGAGCTGAAGGCAGACGCTTAACTATCTGAGCCACCCAGGCACCCCTCAGTAGTTTTTCATACTAGGATGTCTAAGTGATAACAACTGCATGGTTACTTACACTTCTTTTAAAACTTAAAAAATGAAGCTCAATAGAAATAAAACAAAGTACACTAAAACAATGTTGAT